TCGGTGTTGAAATTTATTTCTTTGCACAAAAAAAGATTGTATGTAATCAATTGAACCAACTTAGATTAGAATTTTTGATGGTGAGTTTCATTTATCTCAGACAATCAGTTATCCCTCAATACTTTATTTAATTATTTTCATTAATTTACTTATTATCATGTTATTGTTATGTACTTTATTTATTTATTTATTTATTATTATTTACAATCAATTAAAAGGATAGCTCTGATGAGTAAAATTGTGATAAGGTTATAGACCTCTTAGCATAGGTCTGTGTAACTTCAGGAATCCCACAGTATTTCTAAGTCTGTAGCACCAAGGGAGAGATTGATTTGAGGTCCTTGCAGATCACACCTGATAGTCATGATGTTGAAGGTTTTCTTCCTACCTACATTCACTTATATATCCATCTCTTTTCTTCTCATTTTCTTTCCTCTATTCCTACTTCCAGGCTTATGCAGAATAAAAAAGAAGTAACAGTTATTGGTTAGTTATGATATGATTTTTAATACCTATTTACTTTACAGTTCTACTCTTCTCGCAAACCTGATTTTGAGTTCTTAGATCTAGTCTAGAAATGCTTTAGATAAAAGGATTAAATGCAATGTAAAGTCCTTGAGCTGTCACATGGCCGAGCGTTAAAACTGGTGCCTTTGGTCTCGTTGCAGGGGCAGGGGGAAGGGGAGACAGAGGGAGCGAAGGGTAGGGGCTTTCTGTGTACGTTCTGCGGCACACACATCAGGCGAAGCGACAACTACCACAGACACATGCGAAAGCACTCGGGGGAGGCACGCTTCCTGTGCACGGTCTGCCTAAAGCCATTTTCCCGTTCGGATGCTCTAAACGCTCACATGGCCAAACGGCACCCGAGCCACAAAGACGGGATCTCGTCGTGAGGCCGTGCAAGGGTACTGACTCGTAGAAAGGACAGGGGTTGCAAGAGTTGTTTTGTTTTTTCTCAATATCTTTTTTATTATTTACTTTTATTATTCTTATTCTTGTTATTGTTACTAATATTGACATCAATATTTTCCTTGCACTTTTTCATGATTATAGAGTATGGTTTTGATATCGTGTTTTTAATGACTCTTGGGTTTTAGAAAAAAAGAGAAAAAAAATTATAGATATCATTGTCCAGTGTTTTTCTTCTAATGACTTTTTACCCAGATGTTTTCAAAACCACAAGTGTAGTGTCAGGTATCCAAAGCAGTGTGAATAATTAGATGGGAGTCTTATATAAAGTGTATAGATAAAGCACAAGAAAGAAGGGGAGGAAACTCAAGAAAGTATGATGAGGGATCAAATCTCAGACCATTTTGTACCTGTGTCAGTCTGTGGCTGTGCGTTTCCTTTCCTTTCACCAAACTACATTTCCATTGAATCGGTTTTCCTTAGGTATTTCCTTAGGCCAGACTATGCATTATTGTAGAGATCTTGTAAACATGTTAACATTTTTACTGTTGCTGTTTTCTATTCTAGTCAGAGACACTCTTTATATGAAGTTACTTATAGGACAGTGTTTTATAGATTTCTTTTTGAGAAATTATGTGTAGATCAGTGTTTTAGAGATATGTGATGTTCAAGATAGCTCTCTCTTGAAAATTTATATTTTTAACCTAATGCTGCCAGGGATGGTACATGCCATGACCAATGTAATTTAAGTATTTAATTGCTTTTTACACATAGATGAATCTCAGCCCAATGCCACCTGGACATGACATGTATGTACTTGCCATGCCCACTGTGAGTTTACTTGTTTAATTGTTTTTACACAGATGGCTACGCTTGTACTAAGTCACCAATGAGGCAATTAAGAGTACTGCCTGTCTCGCCTGTTTACCCGTTTTCCTTGATTTGCAAAAATATTTTACGTTATAGTATATTACTGTCACTAATGTCTATAACATTACACTAATTATAATGTCTATAGTATAAATAATACCATTTGATATTCATAGCATTAGTTAGAAAAAAAAAAAAATGTTTTTCCTGCCAGTTAAAAGAGAGGTGAAATCAGGTAAGGTCACAAGGTCTACATATTGACTCCTTTGTGGCTAAGCACTTGCAGAGCCTCCTATGAGCTCAGCATTTTCCCGCCGGTATTGGGTTTGCATTCAAGGAGTCAATAACTAGTGCTACCTATCTTACCTTTTCCCTTGATTTTACGAAATGTTTCCTTTTATTCTTTATTGGTATTATGTTAATAGCACAGTAATGATTATAATGTCAGTAATGATAATAACCGCATAGATATTGATTAAAAAATAATAAATAAATCAAGGAAAGGTGAAATCAGGTGGGGTCACAAGGTCAAAGGTCAAGTGATCAACTCCTTGGTGACAGAGCATTGGCTGAGCCATCTGTGCGTAGAGAAATTTCTCAAAACGCTCCAGCAAGCGTCACATCTTCCTCGGCAGAATTGGGTTGATCCAGTGATAGAGCAAGTGGCTTTCATTAATTGTTTGGGAAACTTTTTGTATCCTAAAACTTTTCAAGGGTAGATAGGATGATGGAAATTTTTTGAAAGTACAACTTGATATATACAATAAAGGAGTAAGTGTTATTTGATTTTCAATTTACATCATTTCATTGATTTATTTGCTTGCAGTTTGAAATTGTACCACTTTTACATAGATGTGTGTGTGTGTTTGTGTGTGTACATATATATATATATATATATATATATATATATATATATATATATTTATATATTTATATATATATATATACACACACGCGCACACACACACACACACACACGCGCGCGCACACACACACACACACACACACACACACACACACACACACACACACACACACACACACACACACACACACACACACACACACATACACACACACACACACACACACACACACACACACACACACACACACACACACACACACACACACACACACACACACACACACACACACACATACACACACACACACACACATACACACACACACACACACAGACTCACATATATATATATATATATATATATATATATATATATATATATATATATATACAAAATTTGTGTGTGTGTGTAAATCATTTTTCAAATGTATTTGAACTATTATCCTTTTTGTTTCAACATTTTCAAAAGATATCAACATTCTTGCACTCAATATATAATTATCTTTCTTCCCATCCAACAATAACAGTCGTTGAAGGTATGACAGTCTCTACTCACCTATGACAATCTTGTCAATTACTTTTGACAATTTGCTAATACTATTAACACTGCAAAACTAAAAAACAATTTTCAAAACTACTCAGAACCCAACTGAAAAAATGCAAAGTTGCCTTTGGCATTGTCTAAATTGGTTCAGGTAATTAATTCTTTTTCCTTTGTCAATAGTCATTTCATGATATTGAATATTAACAATGATTTAACACACACAAAGTCACATATGGCAGTATAGTTTGAATAATCAAAAGCCATCGTCACAATTTATGCCGAATGTTTCCTGAATATACGGATTCTTGCATTCTTTGAATATTTTTATCCTGATTTCTTTTGATCCTAGAATTATATGTTTCTCACAGTTCTGGCAACTCCTGTTTGATCTCCCAGTGTGATGTTGATTGTTGTTTGTTAATGATTTTGAATTATGATTGTTTTAGTCATGTTTTTCAAAGGTTTTGGAGACTTGAAATCAATGAAAGATAAATAGCTGTTGAAATATTTTCCAAACTTTCTGATTCATATCAGAAAGTTGAATAGATTTGGGAGATGGTTGTAAGTAAATAGAAAACTGTCATTCTTCAACTTGAGTCTTGAAAGCTCTTGGTTAATTGTTCAACTGCAGTTGAAGAAAGTGTGTATGTATAATATCTATCTATCTATTTACATCTGTGTGTGTTTATATATATATATTAATATTAGAGAGAGAGACAGAGAGAGAGTTTATTTATGACCCAAAGGAATAAAACATATATGGAAAAAAATCTAATTCCTCTTGAATGAAATGGAAGTGTATGTATAAACCATAATTTATGGGACAACCACACAGGAGGTCTTTGATAAAGGCAACTACGGAGGAAAAAAAAAAAGAAAAAAAAGTTTTTCCTGCCAGTTAAAAGAGAGGTGAAATCAGGTAAGGTCACAAGGTCTACATATTGACTCCTTTGTGGCTAAGCACTTGCAGAGCCTCCTATGAGCTCAGCATTTTCCCGCCGGTATTGGGTTCGCATTCAAGGAGTCAATAACTAGTGCTACCTATCTTACCTTTTCCCTTGATTTTACGAAATGTTGCCTTTTATTCTTTATTGGTATTATGTTAATAGCACAGTAATGATTATAATGTCAGTAATGATAATAACCGCATAGATATTGATTAAAAAATAATAAATAAATCAAGGAAAGGTGAAATCAGGTGGGGTCACAAGGTCAAAGGTCAAGTGATCAACTCCTTGGTGACAGAGCATTGGCTGAGCCATCTGTGCGTAGAGAAATTTCTCAAAACGCTCCAGCAAGCGTCACATCTTCCCGGCAGAATTGGGTTGATCCAGTGATAGAGCAAGTGGCTTTCATTAATTGTTTGGGAAACTTTTTGTATCCTAAAACTTTTCAAGGGTAGATAGGATGATGGAATTTTTTTGAAAGTACAACTTGATATATACAATAAAGGAGTAAGTGTTATTTGATTTTCAATTTACATCATTTCATTGATTTATTTGCTTGCAGTTTGAAATTGTACCACTTTTACATATATGTGTGTGTGTGTTTGTGTGTGTACATATATATATATATATATATATATATATATATATATATATATATATATATATATATATATATATATATATATTTATATATATATATTTATATATATTTATATATATATATATATATATATATATATATTTATATATATATATACACACACACACACACACACACACACACACACACACACACACACACACACACACACACACACACACACACACACACACAGACTCACATATATATATATATATATATATATATATATATATATATATATATATATACAAAATTTGTGTGTGTGTGTAAATCATTTTTCAAATGTATTTGAACTATTATCCTTTTTGTTTCAACATTTTCAAAAGATATCAACATTCTTGCACTCAATATATAACTATCTTTCTTCCCATCCAACAATAACAGTCGTTGAAGGTATGACAGTCTCTACTCACCTATGACAATCTTGTCAATTACTTTTGACAATTTGCTAATACTATTAACACTGCAAAACTAAAAAACAATTTTCAAAACTACTCAGAACCCAACTGAAAAAATGCAAAGTTGCCTTTGGCATTGTCTAAATTTGTTCAGGTAATTAATTCTTTTTCCTTTGTCAATAGTCATTTCATGATATTGAATATTAACAACGATTTAACACACACAAAGTCACATATGGCAGTATAGTCTGAATAATCAAAAGCCATCATCACAATTTATGCCGAATGTTTCCTGAATATACGGATTCTTGCATTCTTTGAATATTTTTACCCTGATTTCTTTTGATCTTAGAATTATATGTTTCTCACAGTTCTGGCAACTCCTGTTTGATCTCCCAGTGTGATGTTGATTGTTGTTTGTTAATGATTTTGAATTATGATTGTTTTAGTCATGTTTTTCAAAGGTTTTGGAGACTTGAAATCAATGAAAGATAAATAGCTGTTGAAATGTTTTCCAAACTTTCTGATTCAACGAACAGACTGTTGAATAGATTTGGGAGATGGTTGTAAGTAAATAGAAAACTGTCATTCTTCAATTTGAGTCTTGAAAGCTCTTGGTTAATTGTTCAACTGCAGTTGAAGAAAGTGTGTATGTATAATATCTATCTATCTATTTACATCTGTGTGTTTATATATATATTAATATTAGAGAGAGAGACAGAGAGAGAGTTTATTTATGACCCAAAGGAATAAAACATATATGGAAAAAAATCTAATTCCTCTTGAATGAAATGGAAGTGTATGGATAAACCATAATTTATGGGACAACCACACAGGAGGTCTTTGATAAAGGCAACTACGGAGAAAAAAAAAGAAAACAAGTAGAAGGGAAGTAAAGACTCCCTGTTACTCCCTGTTTAAACATGTTACCAGTCTTAACAAATGCACAAACCCCATGTTTAAGTGATGTGTAAATGGGACTCTAATCCATTGTGTAATGTTTACTCTTATGTATAACACATTGCATTTTCCTTATTCTGTAAATACTTTTTCTTCTTCTTTTTATTTTTATTTTTTTCTCTCTCTTTTTACTTTATTTGCTCATTTGTTTTCCTTTCTAGACTTTTCTTTTTCCAACCAAGAGAGACTTTCAAAATGCTCCGTCCTTGGGTTAATCTGCACGTCATCCGTTGTTACCCATTGCTTAGGGAAGAAGTGGACTTGATAATAGAACTCATATTAAATCAAGTTCCCTGGGTTTTCACTTGGAGTTATATCAGGGGGAAAGCCAGGCCAGTTTTTAAGATGGAGATCGCTAAGCTTTTCCCTCATATAAGTGTTAAAGGGCAGCTTCCAAGGATCACTAGCCATAGATCTCTGTTTGTGGAGAGGCAGTTTTGGTAACTTGGGGTCTATAGGAGTTTTGGGGGCTGAGGGAAAAGCACTATATATTATATATGTTTGTATATGTATGTGCATGTGTGTTTGTGTGTGTGGGTGTGTTTGTTTGTGGGGCTGTATGCGTGTGTGTGTGTGTGTGTGTGGGTGTATTTGCTTAATCAATTGCAAAACATGCTCATGAAAATTAGTGACCATATTTTCATTCTTTTGTCATTTTTACCCAGTATGATTATTATTTTGTCTTTTCTTTATATACTTGTACCCTACCTCTTGCTTCTGATTTCACATTTTTTAATTATACTTCATTTATCTTGAGTTTAGTTCATTGTTTTATTAATTTACTATTTCAGAATTGAATGATGGCTTGTCATTAGTTCTGTAATTTATTCCTTCCCCCGCCTTGTCCCACTCTGATTTTTTTGTCTCTCTCTCTCTCTCTGCGGTCGTCTGGCAGTGGGGGGGGGCGAGAACATGCGCAGAAGTGGCCATGGGGGTCCGGTTGGCAGAGGAGGTGGAGATGGAGGAGGGAGTGACCTGGAAGTAGGGAATGTGGGGAGCCAAGGACGGGAGTTTGGCGCGAGTGTGGGCAGTGGAATGAGTGGATCAAGACGCAAGTGGAAATTTGGTTGTATGTACTGTAGCAAATCGTTCCCCACGCGCTGGGGGCTGGAGCGCCACACTCGGACGCACACCGGCGAGAAGCCCTACTCTTGTCATATCTGTCAGAGAAACTTCAATGAACAGTCCAATTACCAGAGACACTTCCGAAGACATTTCCTAGACAAATAATGATACATGTTACTCTAGCTCGATGTTGAATGTTATCCAAAATATATTTTATAAATGTTGTATCATATCAGATGTTGATTTTGTATATGCATAAGGAGTGAATTATGGTTTTCATGCTTTTACACAAA